GAGGACTGGTCACCAGGCACCGGTGAGCTGGAGGGACATGGTCCCTGCCCTCGTGGAGGGAGCCCAATAAAGACAAGTTAAGCTGCTTGGAAGGAGAGACCGGGAAGCAGCAGGAGAGAAACGTGGGGACACAACTCTTGGATGGATGAGGAGGGGTCCAGGGATGATGTGACACTGACTGAGACGGAAGACTTGGCCAGGTGAAGTGGGGACGATGTGTGTCAGTGCTCAGAGCAGCTTCTATGTGATGGTGAAAATCTGGACATCATAACCTACATGTGTCTCAGCAGAAGTGGGTGACTGAACTATTTCCACAAAACCTGCAGCTCTACATGTTTTATAAGTTTTTGTTCTCTTTAACTTGAAATACTTCATTTTTAAAAGTGATGCTGGGAGTGTCTATCTGGCAGTAGGAATGGCATGTGCAAAGGCCCTGAGACAGGAAAGAACTTTTCCAGTGAGGACATAGTGAAGGCCTGGCTTTTGTTCTGGAGGCCACACCACTCTGGGCATCTCTCTGTTTGAAGGTCTGCTCTTAGCTGTCTCTGAGACCAGGGGAAAGACCTTTTACTGAGTCTTGGGAAGGCCTTCGAGGTCTCCTGGGTGTCAGCTGGAGGTCAGGGTCATGGTAGGAAATTGAACCATTGGGGACAGAGCCTGCCTAGGCCAGATTTGTGGGAGGGGAGAGCCTTCGGAGTGAGTCAGCCTCTTGGGCTGGAAGCAGCAAGCCTAGTTGAGCTTCTGCCAAGTACCCAAGGACCCGCGGTGATTCCGCTCCCCTTTTGTGGAGGAATTTGCCTGCCGAACAGGCCATCTGGGTGAGGTGAGTCACCGTTTCCCCATTTTGTTCATCACAGTCACCTCTGAGTGGGCCTGCTCAGCCTCAGCTGCACTCTGATGGACTCTGACACCTGGACCAGCCGGCCGGCATGTGCTGCAGCTTTGTGTCCACGTGCCACTCTCTGAGAACTCTCTGAAACGTGGTCAGGGGTCCCGAACCCTGGAAACAGGGGCTGCAGATTGAGGGCCGCTGGTCTGGTCCAGGACCTCGCTTTTCTGATGGGGAAATGGAGGCCCACAGAGGGAGGTGTCCGATTTGAGGTCGCTTAGAGAAGGAAGGAAGTGAGGGGCCTGGCTGCCATTTGCAGTTCAGAGGACTTGCTCCTGGCCCTGAACATGGGTCTTGGTGTCCCTAGCTGAGATCAGCCCTGCTGACCTCTCCTGAGGAAAGGTGCGTGGTGTCTGACTCTGGCCCCCAAGCCTGGCGGGTGGGGTGGGAACGCGGGTGTGAGATTCTGGCTAGGGGCGGCTGCACCTGCAGGTGCTTCCTGCAGACGCTCTGCTAGGGAGCACCGCCTCCCCCTCTGTGTGACACGCTGGCTGCCGTGTCCCCCAGCATCTCCTGGCTGCAGGGCGGCCTGCAGGACCTGCTGGGCCTCACTGGGGCTGGCCTGTGACTGGTGGTGGTTAGCAGGGACTGGGGATTGCGTGAGAAAATGCTGTGTGACTCACACTCCTCTCTGGGCCTCTGTGTCCCCAGCTAACTCAGAGGATGCAGTTCGGTGAGAGGCAGGGCTGGTCCCTCCCAGCTCTGACATCTGTTCGTTCTGAGTCTGATGGAGAGGCGAGGGTAACTACATGCTCTCTCACTGAGCGTGCTTCACGGTGCTAAAGGCTTTGCATGCACTAGCTCATGACTCCTTTGTCCACGAGGCTACAAAGGAATCCGTTGAAGCGCAGAGAGGTTGAGTTAACAACCTCTTGCCCAGAGTCGCACAGCTAGTCAGTGACACAGCTGGGACTTGAACCCAGGTGGTCTGTCCGTGTGTGGTCTTAATCACCACTGTGATAGGCTGAGTAATGCCACCCCCTTCGCCCCCTCCCCACCAAAGATGTTGACATCCAAATCCCTGCAACTTGGGCAAGTGGTACCTACACGGTAAAGGGACCTTTCAGATGTGATCCAGTTAAGGGTGCTGAGGCGGGGAGGTTACCTGGATGATCCAGGTGCGCCCAGTGTGCCCACTGGGTCCCTGTGAGAGGAAGGCAGAGGGCGATTTGAGTACAGACCGGAGGTTAGAGCGATGCAGCTTGAGAAAGACTCCGCTGGAGAAAGTGACTGCTGGCTTTGAGACGAGGGAACGAGTCATTACCCAAGGAATGCGCAACCTCTAGAAGCTGGAAAAGGCGTGGAACAACCCTCCCCCCACCCCAACCCCCTCACCCCCACAACAGCCTCCAGACCAACCCGGCCCACACCTTGACTGTCGCCCAGGGAACCCAACTCCATACTTCTTACTTCCAGGACGTTAAGACGTTAAGATAATAAATTCGTGTTATTTTAAGCCATTACATGTGTGGTGATTTGTTACAGCATCCATAGGGAGCTAACACAACTATGTTCTAGTCACCCATTGTCTTCCAGCCAGCTCTCCTTTCTGAATCCAGATTCGGTTCTGAGTTCTGAGGAGTGGAAATCGACTCTGAGGAGGTGACTGCTCAGCTGGGAGCCAGAGGAAGAGTCCAGGAAGGATGTTTCAGGAAGAAACAGCCTGTGCCCTGGTTCTGAAGGGAGAACGGATATGCTTGAGGAGCAAAAGGCGGCCAGTGTGGCTCGTGTGGAGTGAACCAGGAGATGAGGTCGGGGAGGGAGGCAGGCGGGCTGCAGCCTGCAGGGCCTTTTAAGTCGCGGCGAAGAGTCCAGGGTTTATCCCAAGGGCCACGGGAACCCCTGGAGAGACTAGAGCTGGTCGTCCTGTGAGGTGCAATGCTGGCCTGAACCAGGACAGTGGCTGTGGAGATGGCAAAGAGTCCAGGGTTTATCCCAAGTGCCACGGGAACCCCTGGAGAGACTAGAGCTGGTTTGTTGTATACAAGGCCATAGGCTGCCACGGGCAGTGCGTTGCATAGGAACCAGATGGAGGCAGGGAGGCCAGGCAGGAGGCTGCTGCGGTCGTCCTGTGAGATGCGATGCTGGCCTGAACCAGGACAGTGGCTGTGGAGGGAAGGGAGATGGCAGAGTCAATATGTCCTTTGGAAATAGAATCCTCAGGGCCTAATGGGTGGTTGCAGGTGGCTGACTGTGCTGGTGAGCTGCTGCTGTGTAACAGATGACTCAAAACTTGGCAGCTTGGAACGATGATACGCATTTGTTATCTCATGTTTTTGTGGGTCAGGAATTCGGGAGTGGCTTAGCTGGGTGGTTCTGGCTCGGGGTCTCTCTTGAGGTCGCTGTCAAGATGTTGGCTGGAGCTGCCGTCATCTGAAGGCCCGAGTGGGGCTGGAGGTCCATCTCCAAGGTGCTCCCTCCCATGGGGCAAATGAATGCTGGCTGTTTGCAGCAGGTCACAGCTCCTCCCCACGGGGCCTCTCCATGGGGCTGCCAGAGTGCCCTCACAGCTCAGCAGCTGGCTCCATTCAGAGTGGGTGATCCAAGAGAGAGCTGATAGAAGGCACCGCAACTCTCGTGACCTAGCCTGGCGTCGTGCGTCATCATTTCCACACATCCCATTGGTTGCACAGGTTCCGTGTGGGAGGGGACACATGGGCTGTGACTACAGGAGCTAGGGTCCCAGGGGCCACTTGCAGGCTATTTACACAGAGGCCTGGGGGAGGGTGGACTCAGGATGACACCTGGGTTTTGGGCCCAAGTGGCTGGATGAATGGTGGTGCCCTTTACCCAGAGGAGGGGGCATGTTTTGGGTGAAGGCAGGTGGGAACCAAGCACTCTCTCTTTGCCCCCATTCGGGAGACTTCACCTCAATGCTAGAAACTCTTCTCTCCACGGTTGCCTTGGTTTTGGGGGCTCCGTGGCTTCAGAATTTGGGGACACTTGGTCAGGGCCCAGTTTGCATCTGTTCCTTGAGCCAACTCCATTCAGGCTCATGGACCGAGAGTTAAGAACCAGGTATTCTTAGGTTCAAATCCCAACTTAGTCATTTAAAGGCTCTGTGACCCTGGGCCAGATACTTAGCCTCTCTGGGCTGGTTTCCTCATCGGTAAAATCAATGCACTGAGCTGTTGTGTGGTGAGACTCAGAGACGATGGGACTGAAGCGCACAGGCCAGGGCCTGGCTCTCCTGGACCTCTCTGGACCTCGGATCTCTGCGTTTTTCTGTGAGCAGTCATGTCGCCATCAGAACGTCCCAGGTCGCCGGGCGGATTTGATTGGGAAGGATTTCAAAAGAGTCTGTTCAGCTTCTTTTAAGTAGGTGATGCAAAAATTCTGGGGACAGCAGGCGTAATTATTACTCACAGGGAAATGCAAATATTTTTATGAATATCCTATGAAAAATTGAGGCTTTTTTTTTTCATGAGCAAATAGTCCTGTTTATTTCTCCAACAAAATAGTCACAGTTGTGCTGCGGGGCCGAGTCACCACTGCCAATGGCTTTCCTCAGGGGTCGGCTCACCTCCCCCTCCCCCCCGCCCCCCACTTTCTCTCCTTTTTTAATCCAGAGAAAACATAGCGGAGACAAGCGTGACCACGTTTGGGCTTTGCTGAGAGAAGGGGGTTACTTCTGCAGGGAAAAGTTAATTTTTGTGGCCAGAATTTCTCAACTGTGAAAACCGGTGCGGGCAAAGCGTAGTAAGCCCAAAAAATACAGTTGAAAAATGATTTTCCTTGGAAAGGACATTTTTTTAAAGAAGGCCATCCATGTTTGCAAGAGGAGAACGGGGGTCTGCTTCCTCACGAAGGACATGTCCTCTAAAGTCCTAAAGAGACCCAGGGGAATAGAGGAAAGGGGGAACCACGGGGAGGGGAGGCGTGGGGAGCCCGGATGGGGAGTGAGAGGCCTTACGCCCGTGTTAGCTTAGCTCCCGCCCAGTGCCTGGCGCGGTGCTAGGGCTTTACGTGCGCTCTGTACCTGACTTTTACGAAGGGCGTTTGGTTATGATAGCAGTCAGGTGATTAGGGCTCAGAGAGGTTGGGGAGGTGGCCTGTGGTCACTCAGCTCCTGGATGGAGGTGTCAGAAGTCCAACCTGCCCTTCGCTTTCTATGACGCCCTGGGAGAAGGGGCCCGTGGTCCAGGGCCGGGATAGCTACCACAGTGAGATGCTGATGATGATGACGGTGGCAGTGGTAGTGATGGCGATGGGGGTGATATTAATAGTGATGATGGTGTCAGGGATGGTGGTCTTGGGGGTGGTGATGGTGGTGATGATAACGGCTACATTTTGTGAGGCTCCTCCTCTAGGCTGGGTCCTTGCACATTTGGCTCTAATTCCTAGCACAGCGATACAAATTGGGTAGCAGCATCTTTGCAGGAGAAAACGCTGTGTGACTAAGCAAGGCCACACCACTGGTGTGTGGTGCGGCTCAGATAACCTGCAGTGACACCCACTTCCCACTGACATTGTGGCGAGGAGGCCTCAGGGCATCAGCACCCCCGGTAAACTGCAGCTGTCACTCAAGGGCGGCAGCCTCCAGTCAAGGTGGCCCAGTCTTGGTGCTGCCCTTGGCAGCCAGGGTTTCCTGGGAGGGACCGTCCCAGCCTCTCCCCCGCTCCCTCCACAAAGCCACACCAGAGGCCTCCTTGCTCTCCGGCTCAGTGTGCCGGGGAGGGGCTGTGTCTTCCCATCCCCATGGCAACCAACTCCCAGGCCTGGTGTTGGTTTGGGTTTTCCTAATTGAGGTGTGGGTTCCTTCTGGTGTGGCTGAGGTTTGTCTGCTCTGGGAATCCGACTGCGGTGTGGCCATGAGGTGGGGCCCGGAGGTGCTGGGACCTGCCCACAGGCCACAGACCCCACATGCCCGTGCCACCTCCCACGCCTCACACCACTTCAACGATGCACTTCCTTTGAAGAACATTCTGGAGGTTTCAGGTTCTTGAGGCTGACAGCTACAGCACCACGAAATGTCCTGGGGTCAGGATAACTGTGTATCTTCGCCTCCCCAGGTCCTGTCCACAGGGTGGAGCCGGCCTCAAGGCCTGGGTGTGCTGATGCGCGCTCCCATCTGCCCGCCATGGTTTTTGCTCACCCTCCCGGGGGGTCCTGGAGCAGCAGAAGGCCCTGACTAGAGCTGTGTCCAGCTCCCAGGCCAGCTAACAGGACCCAGAAAGGCTCAGCACCCCCCCCTACCCACCCCCCGCTCCCCTCTTGCTTCGCTGAGGTTGGGCAGGGTGTCCTCTGGCCTGGCTGTGCCAGCACCAGGGCATCAGCCTTTGGACGGGCCTGGGGCTGGCTCCAGTGTTCGGGGCCCACCCCAGGTCTCTGAGGTGGTAAGAAGGACCAGTGCCCACCATGTGGTGAAGGTGGTGGTGGTGTTAGGCTGTGGAGAGCATGTTTGGGTAGAAGAGGCTCTGTGCTCCCCAGACTCCCCATCATCCCTCTCTCCCCCACCCCTGGGTCCTGTGCCCAGCTAAGAAGGCGCTGGACACATTCCAAGACACCAGGGCGAGCTGCTGCTTCCTGCCCCGAGGACTCATGGACACAGGCCACCCAGCATCAATGGCATGGTCCCCGCCTCAGGAGATTGGGGCCGGAGGTGCCTTTGGTGGCCCCTTCTGTTGTGACTTTCTTTCTAAACATTCAATCATTGGGAATTATAGAGGCGTCTCCACCCGGGGCCACCTGATCCCAGCCTCCCACTTGGGACAGTGTGGTAACTGAGGAGCTGAGGGCAGGGGCTGGGGGAAAATCGAGGAGGAGTCACCTTTTTTAAAAAAAATATATATTTTTATTGATGTCAGAGAGGAAGGCAGAGGGAGAGAGAGATAGAAACATCAATGATGAGAGAGATCATCGATCAGCTGCCTCCTGCACGCCCCACACTGGGGATTGAGCCCGCAACCCGGTCATGTGCCCTGACTCTGAATCGAGCCTTGATCTCCTGGTTCATAGGCAACGCTCAACCACTGAGCCACGCTGGCTGGGCGTCCAGGAAACTTCACAGAGGAGGGTACCCTGAGGCAGACACCCTACAAGTGCTGGATATTTCCAGAAAGTGAGACCCACAAAAGTAGGATGAGGCCCTGGTCCTGTATTTGCAAGCTCCATCCTCCCCACCCCACACCTACCCAATTGGCTCTCTTCTTGTCTATTTACCTGCCAGTATCTCCAAGAAAAATTGTTTTGAAAAACAGGGGTTCTGTTGCCCTGCCCTGCCTGGCACCATCTGCCCGATCCCAGATGAGAAAGCTGAGGACAGAGGGGTGGTGCTTTCTCCTGCTCCCCAAGTGGCCCGTCTCCCTTTCACAGTGGTTGCCAAGTGCATTGGGTTGGACAAAGTCCCCTGCAGGCTGAGGTCACCTCGAGTACACGTAGGCTGTAATCACGTCCCTTTGAAAAGGCTCAAGTCACTGCGTGACGCTGCCCCTGATCGGGCCCTGTAATTGGGATCGTGCCTTGTTTGGGGCTGAATGAAAAGAGACTTTAAACCAGTGAGATGGCACATACCTCCCTCATCAGCTTTAGCGAGGAGGGGGGAGCAGGGGTGACCACTCTGCTCCTGATAGCAATGTCAGCGGGAGGGAGGGCAGGAGTGGAGGCAGCAAACACAGGGGTCCCTCCCTCATCAGAGAACCCGGCCTCCTCCTCCGCTGTGCCCTGGCCTCGGAGAACGCCCACGGCCTTCCCATGGTGTTGTTTTCTGGAAAACCAACTCTGTTGGCAGTGCTGTGGAAACTGAGTCTTGAAAGCTTACCTGGGCAGAAAGGAATGGAGCAGATTCTTTAGCTGCACAGACGTCAAAGGCTAAATTGTAACACTACCCTCCATTTGACCGGCCGAGAGTGGGTGAGTCATCGGCATCTCGTGGCTGGGAACACAGAGCATCCTTCCCACGTACGGTCACTAGGATACCTGAGAACCTCCCAGACCTTGATCACAGTGTGCTGAGAGCAGCTTCACGCTCCCCTCTCCGCCCCCCGCCACCTCCCCATATGTATATTCTAAAGACTACTAGCCAGCAACATAATTCGGATTTCTAACAAATTTGCTCCTTCCCGTAAGCATAATGTTGACCTTTCCACCCCCCCGGCCCTTGTGACCCATAGGCCATTCCGTGAGTTGACAGGAGAAAGGGGCGTCCTTGGATTCCTGGGGCCGCTGTAGCCTGTGCCTCTCTCTACCCTGTGCCCTTGTTCCTTTAGCCAGCAGCGCCCTAAACTGTTTTGGAAGGGAGGGTGTCTGTTTCCGTGCTGCCTCTGGTGACACCTGGCACCATCCAGGGGCTTTCGGTCTGAACGGCGCAAGCCTGGGGAGGCCCACGGCGAAGTCCCCGACGGAGGGAAAGGCAAGCGCAAAGGCCCTGAGAGCAGCTACAGGGAGGGGAATAACGCTTGGGGAGAGGATGGCCAGAGAATGAGCTGACCCGTGGGTGATGGGCAGGCCTGGGAACTGGCCATCTGGCTGCAGGAGCCGGGCTGGGCCCGGAGCAGGTGGGACATTGTGGTTGTAGCCCCTTGTAGGCCTGACAGCCCTCCCAAGTTGGGAGGTGGGCCTGGGGCAGCTGGGGCCACAGGGTAGGCCTGGCCACCTCAGGATACTGAGAAACAAGCAAGTCCAACGGAAATAACAAACAGTATCAACACTTCAGTCATGACATATGCAATTTAATAACCTACTAGCATACTTACAAGCTAAATATTTGTCTGGAAGTGATGACCTCTTTGAGGCAGGTTTTGTTTGTTGTTAAGGCGCAGAACCTTGCCCCAGCCCGTCCGAGTTATGGAGGGGCTGGCTTTTACGCGATTTGTTAGAGGAACTGGAGGTGGGTATGTGTGGGGAGGTTATTCAGGGCCCCTGTGGCCTTTTGGGGGACACCCTACTGCACTAAAGCTTCCAGTGTCTGTCTTTCTTGCTGGATTGGGTGCCCTAAGAGGGGGAAGTTCCAAGTGTGTGACACCCCATCCATCTTGCCTATCACCATGTCCCTAGCATCTGCATAGCACTCAGAATTTAGTAGATGGCAACACCTGGTGGTTGAATGAATTGATGAATCTGTGTTAATTTTCTTAAGCTAATAGATAAGTTCATTAATAAAATATGTACACATACACACACATGTGTGTATGTATAAAATAGACTTCTGGTTTCTGTAGACTGGCCACCTGAGAATTAACTGAGGAGCCTTTCAAGATGTCACATTCCTGGGTTCCAATCACAGAAAGTTGGGGTGCAGCCTGATGGGGTACAGCCTAGGAGTCTATTGTCAAGAGTACTTCATTGGTTTCTCAAAAAAGTAAACATAAGGGTACAGAATGAGTCACCCCAAAAGGTGCCCCTGTGGTATGTGATTGTTTTGAGCTGAAGGCAATTGAAATGGGGCTCACAAGAAACTGCTACTTCTCAGAAACTGCTACTTCTCCCTTAAAGAATTTAAATTAGGGGCTTCGCCCATAATAAGGATTATTACCAGAAAAAACTTTATGATCTATCTATAGGGAGGGCAAACTTCTAATTACTGCACATCTGCTCTTCTTATCCTGCAATGATCTTCCTCCCCTGTGAAGCCCCAACATGCCTTATCTCATCCTTAGTTCAGAATGTTGTATACACCTCATGTTACCAGTCTGCCTCTGAACCTCTCATGTATGTGAGATTTTTGACTCTCTTGTATATGTGGGGTTCCCATACATATGTATTTAATTAAATTTGGTTATTTTCTTTTGTTGCTCTATCTCGTGCAGATTTTCTTTAACTCTAAGTATTAGAATTAAAGAAAAACAAATGAACTTGAGTGGTAGAGGAAAATTTCTTCCTCCTCCACTCATAGGTATGTATATACCCAAAAGAATTGAAAGCAAGGACTTACATCCATAGCAACACTATTCTCAATAGCCAAATGGTAGAAGCAACCCAAGTGTCTGTCAATGGATGAATGGATGAACAAATTATGTCTCTACACACAACTGAATATTATTCAGCTTTAAAAACGGAATGAAATCTGACACACTACAACATAGACGAATCTTGAGGACATTATGCTAAGTGAAATAAACCAGTCACAGAAGGACACATTGTATGATTTCATTTATATGTGGTCCTTCGAGGAGTCAAATTCATAGAGGTAGAAAATAGAATGGTGGTTGCCAGGGGCTGGAAGTGGAGGGAATGGTGAGTTGCTTGATGGGTATAGACTGCATTTTACCTAAAAATGGTTAAGAGAATCAATTTTATGTGGTGTATATTTTACCACACACACAAAAAGTGCTTCATCCCAGCCAGGTCTGGGGATGGCGAGGGTGGGAATGGGGGAGGGGAAGGGGTATGGATTGATGATGCTGATGGCCCTTTGAGGCTTTGCAGCCTGTGAGTGGCTGAGACGACAGCATTGGCTTTGCAGCCTTCGTGGGAGGGGGTGGGGGGGGGCAGGGAGTGGCTACATATACTGACCTCTGTCCCTCAGGAGGCCGGGCAGGCTCCTGAGTGGAGGCCACATGGCCTGTCCACTGGGGCAGCTGCTTGGTGGGTTATGGGAGTGAAGTTCAAAATGGATTTGTATGCGAAATCTCCTAATGTTTAGATCTTGACAGTTGGGTCAGTGAACAGGCAAACAACCCACATGTGGGTCAAACAGAACAAGCCTGCAGCCTCGGGTCTGGGGTGGCGTCTATTTCTTGGAGCTCACAGCCTCGGGCCACAGTGAGAAGGATCCCGTTCCAGGTCCTCTTACAGGTGTTACGACACGTCTGACGTCTGACACCAGATTTCTCTTTGATCTCTGAGAATTACTCTTGCTTTCAGTGCACCTGGAGGGAGGGTGTCTAAGGGGTGAGGGTGAGTGCCTGGGGTCTGGATTCTGCTCAGCCTGGGGTCGTGGCTCTGCCATTAGTGAGTTGTGAGACTGTAGGCTACTCGCTTCTTTCTCCCCCGATGCCTGTTTCCTTATCTGTCCCATGGGAATTAGTAATAGTTTCACCTCATAGAGTCAGAACGAGGACTCTCGTAGGGTGCAGGTATGCAGCCTGGCCCAGGGCAGGGCTGATGGGAGGGCTCTGCCGTGTGTGCATGCGTGTGCACGTGCATGACCTGGCTGAGCAAAGAGCCAGTGTGGCCTCGGACAGGCCATCAGCTGGTGAGTTACGCAACCTCGGACATCTGTTTCCTCATCTGTGATGTTGGCCCAGTGATTTTTCCCCAAATAATCATTTTAATGAGGCTTAAACAAGATAATGTTTAATGTGCCTGGCCACAGCACATGCCCAGTTCACCTTTGTTCTGTCTTTTGGAGTCTGAGGGCTTTGTCTTCTACACAGACTTGAGACAAGGGAGCTGGGCTGGTTGGCCAAGTTGAAGACCAGAGGAGCAGATTGCAGAGAAAGGGACCTGGGCCCTGTCCTTCCCCCATCAGTTCCCTCTCCTACTTCCTGGTTGATAGAATGCAGGTCTTGGTCCTGTCCTCAGAAGCCCACCCACTTGCTGATGGGAGACATGCCTCAGCTTCCCAGGGCAGCGTGGATGAGTGAGGAATCCCATCCATTGAGACCAGCTCTGTGCCAGCCTGGAACACACACTAGGAGCTGGGCCTAGAGCCAAGCTCCACTGGTGTCCTTTGGTTTGCTGGTTGGAGAGAGGGATCCTTGCCCTGCCCAGAGCCATTCTGAAGGGTTAGAGACTGTTCACTCACCCAGAGCTGGGAGCGGGCCCAGGGTGCCAAGATCCTGCCCAAGGACCCTACATCTCTCTAACCAGGCCCCAAACTCTACAGGCATTTGATGTGTTGATCATATGAAGGAGGGTGAAAGGCCCTTAATATTCTTAGACACTGAAGGGCCTAAAGGCCTATGTGACCTTTGGCGAGTCACTGACAGGTGATACCTAAGGCCACTCAGAGCGTGGGGGCAGGTGACAGCATCTCAATCCTTGGGGAGCTGGCCACAGGACACAGAGTGCCTCCAGGTCCAAGGCCCAAACACTGGTGAGTTCAGGGACACCTGGGCAGAGCCAGCGCCCTGTCGCTGCTTGCATACCTGAGTGTTCTAACATCTGTCCACCGTCGCCCGCATAAGGAGTGATGGGGATGATGGGAACATGCTATGTGTGCAGCTGACTCAGTTCTACATGGTTGCTGCATATTTGCATTATGTGTGCATGTTCATGTCGTGTCTTCATTGTGTGTTCATTGTATGTTCATTATGTGCCTATTATTGAGTACGTTCATGATGGGTGTGCTCATTGTGTGCATGTCCCTAGCGTGTGCGTGTTTATCACGTGTGCACACTGCAGAGGGCATGAGGTGTGCTGGGGCCCTTCAGGAGTCCTTCCAGCCTTGAGAAATGTCTTCTGAGACCCTGGGGTTTGTGAGGATAAAGAAGGGGGTACCCAAGACAAGTGGAAATTAAAGTTCTTGTCCCCAACCTCCGACCTCCATATGGGGAAGGTGAATCCACATGAAATGAGGACAAAATGAGGCCATGAGGGGATCATTTCCACAAGGATTTCCTGAGCCTACAGGGAAGGTTATGGTCTAGTCCAGGCCAGATGCCAGGCACCCAGCGGGGTGGACAGCAGTGGCAGATGCTGAGGAAGATCAGGGCGCCTGGTGGGGGCACCTGCATGGGTGACTGGAGGGGCTCCCCTGCTGCTGCTGGCCAGGGGAGCTCAGGCCAGAGCTCACTGGGAGGACACACAGGATTGAGACCAGTGGCCAGCGGGGGATGGAGCGCTTGGGGTGTGTCACCGACTGGGCCTCGAGCTCCCTCCCCACAGCTGTCTGCTAGTCGGGTGCTGGGGACAGGCTCCCTGGGATGGGACACGGGCTTTGGAGCCTTGGACAAGACCAACATCAACTGACATCTGTCCTCCATCTCTGCAGGGGGCGGAGGAAAGCGCAAAGGGAAAAGCAAGAAGTGGAAGGAAATCCTGAAGTTCCCTCACATCAGCCAGTGTGAAGACCTCCGGAGGACCATAGGTGAGCGTCCGGCCTAGACGGGGCTTGGGGAGGGGCTGGGGGCACAAGGGGCTGTTAACACCCACACAGCGAGTCCAACACAAATCACTATCACCATGATTCCAGCAGGGCTCCAGGCCGACGTCCTTGCTAATTGACGTAAAGACGCAACAACGTGTATTGAGTATTTGGTGTGTGCTGGGCAGAATTGTCTCTGTTACCCCTTGAGGCGGGGTCTGTTATTTTACTCCCCCTTTCGGATGGGAACACGGAGGCGCAGAGGGTTCTGTAACTGGATGGAAGTGACACAGCCTGTGGGAGAGTGGCGGAGGGGACCAGGCCCAGTACTGAGCCCCAACTCGTAACTTTCCACCTTCCTTTGGGGCCCATGGGTCGTGCCCTGGGGAAACGGCCCCAGGCTTTGAGAGCCAAGAGCGAGGTGAGCATCTGCGCCCCCCTCTCCTCTGCGGGGGAGGTCAGTGCTCAGCGAGGGCCACCCTGCTCCGTGGCACAGCTTCCGCCTGGCCAGGTACCTCCAACGGCCACAAATGTCCCTCTCCGTCTGGCCCACCTGGCCCTGCCCTCATCACTTCCGCTTCGGGGACCCCTGGGAGCACAGGATTCACCTCAGCTTTTCTCTGCCCATGGGCCCCACCCCAGGGGTCCTTCCAGGCCCATGGACGTCCTCTTGGCAGGGCCCACCCCCTGGGAAGGTGTGAGACACGTGTGTGCTGGCGTGGGGACGTGAATTCTCTGTTCTCCCGGGGGATGTTGAAAAGACTCTGTGTGCGAGTGCAGTGCGAGGAGAGCGGGGAAACACGCCGCCGCAAACAGGACTAGGCCGTGGCCCTGGCCCCAGCGCGGGGCCTTCTGCCTGTTCACAGTCCGTCGCCCTGGTGTTTGCCCAGCCTCTGCTGGGGTCCTGCTGGAGGCTCTCTTCAATAAAACCCTCATTGCTCCTCCAGACCAAGACACAAGCCAAACAGCGGCACAAGCCGCATTGATTTTCCTTGTGGAGTAGAGGGAAGGGCAGAGCCCATGGGGACCCAGGGACCCCAGACACTGCCCCCTCTGGATTGCTCAGAATAGTGGCCCATGAGGCCATGCCCCCCTTGCCTCTGCACTGCCCTGCCCTGCGCAGCCACAGCAGCCAGGGTGACTCTGGAAAATGAAAACTGAATCCCCTGCTGAAACCTCTGTAGAGTTCTCCATCCCACCCAGAATAAAACCCAACCCCCCGACTGTGGCTTAGAAGCACTCTGGCCATTGGGTGAAGCCTAGAGACCCCTTCTCAGAATAATGCTCTTATGTGTGTAAAATAAAATGCATGAGATTGTTAGATAGAGTTATTAGATACTTTAAAATATTTTTATTGATTTTAGAGAGGAAGGGAGAGGGAGAAAGAGATAGAAACATCACTGATGAGAATCATTGATCAGCTGCCTCCTGCACGCCCCCTACTGGGGATCGAGCCTGCAACCTGGCCATGTGCCCTGACTGGGAATTGAACTGTGACCTCCTGGTTCATATGTTGATGCTCAACCACTGAGCCACACCAGCCGGGCAGTTATTAGACACTTTTAAACTTTATGATATTGAAGTATATGTGTTTCTTTGTTAATACTTTAAATAGTAAGGTCCACTAGCTACTGTGATATTGAATTTGCGAAGAGCGTGATACTTCCAGGTGTCTGTAACAACGGTGTTCGAAACGGGTCTGTGATTTCTGTTGCTGATGAGTCCCTGGCACTGCTAACATGATGGTGGGTTGTCGACATTTGTGACCGAAGGGAGTGCTCATTTTCAGTTAGAGTTGGTGACAAGAAAGATGACATGTGTCTCCATCCAAGTCCCTGGGTCCCCTAAGTCCTGTTCATGGACCTCTTGGCAATGCCCTTCCTCCCCTGGCCCTCGCCTATGTCTTGGATCGATGACTCCCTCCTCCCCATTCGCTAGCTGCACGGGTTGCCTTTTCGTTCTTCGGTTCTTCGAATACCCCAAGCTTGTCTCCAGCCTGCAGCCTTTGGAACTGCTGTGCCCGCCGCCTGGAATGCTCTTCCCCACAAATTCTCCAGGGGCCTTTAGGGCTCAGCTCAGATATCACCTTCCCAGCCAGCCGCCAGAAAGGAGGCAGACTCTCCCTGCCTTTGCTGCCTTTCACACGGTGCTGTTTATTAATGTTCTCTGCCGTAACTCCATCTGAAGTAACCTTTTGAGTCGTTGACCTGTGTATGTTCTGTCTCCCTCCGCCCTGGACTGGATGTCCCATAACAAGAGTGACTGTGTCTTGTCTAGAACAGTGCCTGGCACATAATAGAAGTTCACTTAATGTTGGGTGCTTGAAGGAATCAATGAGAGAAAATATTGGAAATAAGGTTTTTAAAACAAAATTGTGACATGTGCTTGCTTTACCTAAATTTAATCTTAGCCAGTGGTTTAAACCTTAAGTCATAAAAGTTTAGAAGTAGGAGGAACCTTAGAAAGCATCCACTTGAATACCCCCCCTCCCCCAATTCTTACCTGATAGATGAGCAAACTTCGCACAATCACATGGCGGGGCTACAGTAGTCTCTCATCCACTAAGTGGGGAAGGGGAAGGCACGGTGGCTCCTGGCCCAGGCCAGTTCCCCTCAGGCTGCAGTTTGGCTCATTCTCACGGTGATGTTAGGTTTCCACAGAATCCTCCTCTGGAAAGGAGAGCATCCTTTCCAGCCCACTTCAGACCTGAGTAAAGAGGCTCCGAGAGGCCCCTGGTCCTGAGTTGCAGTTTTCACTCCGCAGCATCAAACTGACTCCTTTTGGGCACCAGCTCCCACCAGTAATCAAAGCAGAGACTGATTAGGCACTCAAAGCGACAGATGTTTCTGTCTGATTCTCTGTTTACTTTATCTTGTAAAAGTGGGTTGTAGGTGCATTTGTTTATTTAACAAGTGTTCACTGAGCAATTATTATGTGTCCCTGGAGCTCATGCATGGCTTTGCCCAGAAGACAAAGAGAAATAAAGCAGAGATAACAAGTTGCAAAAGTTCTGTGATGGAGGAACAGGTTGCTGAGCTGGGAAAAGTATCAAGGGTCACCCATCAGGAACATGACCGTCTCCGGAGGAGGTGGCATCACTCTGAGCCTCCCAGGGCACCCCTTTGTGTGAGCTCCCTGCGGGCATGGACCACGTCCTGTCCATCTTGGAGTCTCCGTTGCTGGCACAGTGAGTGGATGGGTGGGTGGATGAGTTGATAAAGTAGCGAATGGATGTTGCTCTCCTCCCAGCCCAGACACTGTAATTGGCAGTTATGAGTATTAAGATAGAAATTCTTTGCCACACAAGTGTGAGCCCTAGGCATGAGTAACTGGTCTTAGCCAGCCCTGGCAGAGGAGGAAGGGGCTCTCTATTGTCTGCTTGATGAAATATCAAATAATGACATTATTAGCTATTCAGTTCATTGTTCTCATAAGATAATGAGAGGGCCCAAATCAAAGGACTTCTCAGAATGTCCACAGCTTGGAAGGCGAGAGCGTCATTGTGAAGATAAAAGATTGTTGAGGTCTGCAAATATTTCTCAGTGACGCAGAAAGTTCTGCTGGGGAATGGTGTGGCATTTTTATTTATTTAGCCCAGGCTCATTGCGTACTTTATTCTTTCATTTAAGAAAAAAAAAGCATGAGGGGGCTTGAGTGAAAGAGTTGATTATTCCGCTGTTTGGCAATATTTCTGTAGGAACTGTCCAAAAGCTATATAATAAATCAAGGCCCCCTCCGCACCCCCTGGCGCGATTGACGTTTACGAGGAGGCTGTTCACAGAAATTAGCTGCTGTGGTGCCCTGTGCCCCCACAGGACCGGGGAGATTGCATTTGCCTGGTGGCAGAGCCTCTGACCAAAGCCTTAACCCTTTGCAGGAGCAGAAGCTTTGAGCTGTGGGGGAGTTCCTAGAAGACAGTGTAGAACAGCGGTTCTCAACCTGTGGGTCGCGACCCCTTTGGCGGTCGAACGACCCTTTCAAAGGGGTCGCCTAAGACCATCCTGCAGATCAGATATTTACATGACGATTTGTAGCAGTAGCAACATTACAGTTATGAAGGAGCAACGAAAATAATTTTATGGTTGGGTCACAACATGAGGAACTGTATTTAAAGGGCCAGAAGGTTGAGAACCACTGGTGTAGAACCTTAGCATTAAAGAAAAACACCATAATAATGTAAAGACTGCCTTGAACTGGTCTCGGACTTGATCATCCACTCCCTCGGTTTTGCATGTATTCCGTAAACAAGAAACCGGCCTACAGATATCTGTGGAGCCCCTACTATGTGTTAGGCATTGGTGCAGGTGCAGAGCTGGGCCACAGGCCGCAGAAACGGGGCAGTCTCGTGGACTGACTCGGTCACTGGCGCTAAGGTCCGATGGTGGCTCTGCTGCTCCCAGCCCAGTGGTATGGGCAGGTGGTTTAATTTCTCCAGGTTGCGTTTTCTCTGTCTATAAAATAGGGACACTGATACCACGCTGGAAGAGCCGGTGGGAGGGCTGGCAGAGTGCCTCGCATATGCCATCGCGTCGTGGTCATCATCATTGTAGTCGTCGTCGTCGTCATCATCATCATCATCATCATCATCGTGGTTCTAGTGGCCTGAGGGCAGAGGTTGAAGGGCTTTAGAGTTTCCTCAAGAAGCTGAATTGGCTACAGGAATGAATAGAGCTAGCTGTTTCTATGCTGACACCACATGGGTCCAGTGTCCCAGCAACCCTTGCCTTGGGGGCATCTGAATCCTATCCTTTCTTAAGTCCCTGCCTTCAGCCTCTTCCTCCTGGAGGCCCACCCAGATAGATTCCTTCTGGGTGCCACACTCTGCCCAGACCCCTGGCTGGAGGGTGGGTTTTTTTTGCAAGGACATGTGGTTGTTTTGGAAGGTTGCACCCCAGTGTCCTAACAGGGAAGGCATGGAGGTTTGCTTTATCTGTAAGGTGGTGTTTAAAGGGAGAATTGGCGTCTTATTTATGCAGTTAAAAGCTGAATGAATAAAGACCGGA